GCCCGTTAATGCTCGTTACTGGAAGACCTCTGTGTAAATAGAGCGGATAGCCTGGACAGTGGCAGACTGACAGCTGCTTGAGGAGAACTGGGTCGAGGAAAGATCATGACAACGAAGTAAACAATATGGCGGACAAGTTGCTTTCCCATCTTTAATCTGCGCCACTATGCATCACTTGTAATATGCACTGATCTGAATAGAAATACATGCACGAAGTTCATCTAAGTTGTTTCCATTCGTCATGCCAAAAAAAGTGGGAAAGAAGAAAGGAAAGAAGAAATCGAGCAAGTCTGTTACTGACCGCGAAAGATCCCTTCAGCTGGGCACTGTACCGAACAAAACCATGGTGCAACAAATGGCATCTGAGACACTGAGTGTAGCAGGTAGCAGTCGTGGCGGTACGTCCTCGAGAGAAAGGGTAAGCCTTAAGACTCTAATTTGAGTGATTGACCGAAGTTTACGCTCTTCTGAATATGGTAGCATTTTTGAAACTTTGAAATTTACAAAATTGCAATTTACAAACGTTGCCTTTTAGGAAAGCTGAATTCAAATTGTAGATCACATTTTTGTCCCTCTTTTAGAAAATCATGTAAGCGTCAGTTTGTAATTGTTGGGTTACTTCAGTTAAGTTTAGTTTTCCTTGTAAGTTTTTAATTTATTAACAACCAGTTCTTTCAATATAACTCAGATTTTGTAGATTCAGTTGTATTCACGTTAACTTAAACATTTGCCAGGAAAGTCAAATTTTATAATGTTTAACTTCCTCTCGGAGGGAAATAGCTGTCACCCACTTTTAATAGAGCCTTGATCGAGCGATTGACTAATTTAGGGATCGACTGACTGAAGTTTTTAGGTAAGCGTACGATTATATTCATTAGTGTTTGAGTAATACTCGCAGATGTTTTCAAGCCTGTAAGCATTTCCTAAGTACACCTCTCTTTGTGATATTTTGATTAGCTGTCCCAAGCTTTGTTTGAAGCTGAACTGCGGAACCAAAGGAGATTTATGAAGGGAAGAGTCACAACAAGAGCATATGAACAACTTACACCACAAGAGATCAGAGATCTTAAGTTGGTCTTTGATGTATTTGATACAGACAAAAGTGGGTTAGTATCTTGTTTATATGTACAAGTACCTCACAGAAGTCTATTGATTGATCCTGAGTAAAACTGATTGGGTCATTGAGTTTAATCATGTATTATTCTGATAAATATTTTGTATAGAAAACCATTTTCTTAGTTCCCACTGGCCATTAAACTTTAATTTTGGTGCAAAATATTGCTTATCAAGGAAGTCTGTTCCTTTTTGGGTGATAAAAATTCAACTGTATTCACTCTTCCCTGTCAGTATTTAATACTATGGGGATAATTTGTGGATTAACCAAGATATGAAAAATTTTAACCATTTTTGTATTTTTAAACTAATTAATTTTTATAACCTTTATATCTTAGGTCAATTGATGCTCGAGAACTTAGAAAGGCTATGAGAGCACTAGGGTTTAAGATTTCAAAAGAATCTATAGAGGACATGATAGGTAAGCAAGTGTGCTATTTATCTGTTGATCATCTGAAAGGCCTCAAGCTGTCACTAAATGTCTCTTGCTTACTGAGTTTAAGCTTGGTACTGTGAGCTACAGACCTGGGTTTTCCACTCAGATCTATTGCCCAAGTGAGAAGCATGTAAGCAGTAAATCATACATACCAGAAAGATCTCTGCCAGAAATTATACTCTCAGTTGAAGTTACTTGCTTGATTGACAATAACTGTTACAATCATTTTTTTTTTGTTTTTATTTTAAACAGCTGACTTGGATATTGACAAATCTGGGTAAGTTTTCTTCTCCTTGGCTTAGCCTGCAAAGCAGCCCTTTCTGTCTCCTTTTTAGCCAAGGAAGAAAAACATGAGTCGAATTAAGGCAAGGGGAGGGGTAGGGAGAGTGAAGTTTAACAGCAGCTCTAAGACATCTTCAACCAACCATATTTATCTAGGCTGGGTACCCATTCTCTGGAAGTCTAAGAGAAACTGACCTTAAGACAACATGACATTACTATTAAGTATAGTAATTGTTTAATTGTGATAGAAGTTAACAAACCATGTCACCAAAATTTCTCAGTTATTTTTTTTTAATCAGCTGCACACGACTAAATAAGTGGATGTGGTTTCAGGACACTAATGTTACTTTACCTTTTTTTTTTGGCTTATTTATGCTTACAGATCAATTGAATTTGATGAGTTCTTGGAATTCATCATTGCAAGACAGGGGGATGGCAGAGATGTTCACAATGAAATTGTCCAAGTATGTAAGAGGCTCGGAATGATATATTGCTTGCAATTGTTCTGAAAAATTTGCAATAATTGCTAATGTGACCATTCAGTTTACTCTTTCATTGCCTTTTTTATCAGATTCTCAAGGCAGGAACAGTGAGATTTTATTTTGACTAATGCACAGTATGCAATTAATGGGAGTTAAAAAAACTTTTAATAAGTGCTGGATTGTAATTTGTGGTATATCATGCTTTTCATTACCTTTCTTATGACTTGATTTACTATAATTATTGTTTCCTCTAGGGTTTCAAGATGTTTGACACAGGTGAGCCACTTTCATGAAAATAAACTATGGTACTTTTAATTTTTTTTGTCAGGTTTTTGGGACATTGCATGAATTATACTCTAAACACTCTTTGAGCCATAAAGGGGACTTCACTGTAGCTTCTAATTTCTCCTCACAATTTCACAAATTAAGGTCATGAGAATAAAGGAAGTGATCACTAACTTAAGAAGCTGTTGATTGTTAACAAACTCTCCTGGTCAGCCCTTTAGGAAATGTGTAGAGGACAGTCTAGAGAGTATGAATACTGATTTTAGGGTGTCACTGGTTCAGTTCTCATGTGCTTGAAGCAAATGCAAAGTGCCTTACCAGTACAATAGATCTAACTACTCTTGAAAGTGCAACTTTAGGTTAAGCCATCCACTTCTGCTCTCTCAGTTCTTGAGCATTTCTCGGTTCTTTGAGCATTCACTTTTAGTTATATCTTTCAAGGAATGATGACTATATCAGTTTAAAGATATGATATCTATTCAGTCAGGAATTCACATTGTTGCCATATACTTGTAAATAAATCACAACTTATAAAGAAACACATATTTAAATAATTATATATTTATGTTTTATATATTTTTTCAATTTCCAGACAAGACAGGGAAAATATCATTAAATAATCTGAAACAGGTGTCCAGGCTGTGTGGTGTAAAGTTGAATGAACAGGAACTCAAAGAAATGATACAAGAAGCTGATAAAGATGGTGACAATGAAGTGGATCAGGAAGAATTTGTGAGCATGATGCTGAAAACTAACTTGTTTAGTACATAATCGAGAAATGACCAGAAGAGGAAAATGGGAACTGATCAGTCTTACTAAGAGGGCTTACCATGACTGAAGGTATCAAACGTATCTAATATTAATCCTTTAATTCCCAAGATCTCGTTAGTAATTCTCCTTACTGTCTGTCATACAATTCATGTTAGTTTGGAGAATTTGGAATTGGATCAACCAATAATCTCCTAATTGATATTTTTCTTAATTCTCATCACTTGTCTGCTTGATATTGTGCTGATAGAGTAAGGAGAAATTCTATCTTGGTCACTAGTGGGACTTAAAGGGGTAAAGAACACTTAAATAAAATTTTACAGAAGGTATCTCCTTGGTTTAAAACCTAGTTAAGTTGAATACAGAAACAATTTATGTACAGACTCTTTCTAAGGGCAGCAGTGGTATCTTCCATAAATTAAAGATGGTGAAACTATTATTTTTATCCTAAGTTATGATTTTTGTTTTGGAGGGGGAAGGGGGCTCTTTTAAAGATTGAAGTTCTCAAGGAAGTTTAAAAAGAGGGGTTAAAGTTTGCTCAGAACTGATATGACAGATTTTTTTTTTTTGAGGGGGGAAGGAGAATTCAGTGAAAAACTTGAAGTTTAAAAGGTAGGTTTGTGGGGAAGGTGCATAGCTTTACTCAGAATTGATAACACAGTTTAGAAACTGCTTCATTAATATACCCTCTCTCAATCAAAAGCATCCAACCAGGTCCGTTAATTCCACAATTTGGATGGAGTTGTAAATAAATTACTACTTACATACAAAACTCTGATTTCCGAAAAA